GGGGTCATGGAGCCTGGTGTGTGAGAATACATGAGCTGCAGAGTTTTGGATGATCTGCAACTTGTGAAGGGAAGAGTTGGGAAGGCCGATGAGGAGATAGTTCCCGTAATCAAGCCTTGAGGTGACGAATGCATGGGTGAGGGTTTGGCAGCCTGAGGGGTGAGGCAGTGGTGGAGTCTGGCAATGTTGCGGAAATGGTGGTAGGCAGTGCCGGTCATGGTGCAGATGTGGGGGAGAAAGGACAGTTCAGGGTCAAACAAGACACCCCGGTTCCTGACTGCTTAGTGAGGTTGAGTGTGCAGCCATGAAGGCTAATACTGCCAACGCCGGTATGAGTGGAAGGACACAATACCATCAGATGGTTTTCCTCACTATCAGAGAAGTATTGGGAAAGCGGGATTGTGGAGACGTTGGGGTATTTGGGATATTTGGACTTTTATAAATAAGTAAACTTTGCATTTCATACAGCACCTATTATATTGAAATGCGTCACAGATAGTAACTGAGTAGTAATTTAGCTGTCAGCTTGGCACAGTTGGTAGCACTCTTGCCCTATTTGAGTGAATTCAGTTCAATGCTACTTTGGAAGGTGCAGTGAAAATGACACAGACAGGTGTAGTTTATTCTAAGTAAATACGGCAGACATTCTGCACACAGCAAGGTCCTCAAAACAGCAATGAGAATAATCAATTTTATCTGGGGGGATTGTAAGACAGGAAGGTAAATTCCCTTCTCTTTTTCAAATAGAGCCATGGAATCTTTCAAGTCTAGGTAATGAACAGGCAAATGGGACCTCTGTTTAACATCCCATCTGAACAATGGCACCTCTGGCAACTCACTTCTCCCCTAATACTGCGCTAGAATGTCAGCCTAGACTACCAGCTCCAGTCCTGATGGGGTTTGAACCTACAACCTTCTGATGCAACAATGAATGAATGGCAGCTTGACAAAGGACAAAAAGCAGTCACGACTAGTGTCTTTATTTTGCCCATCATTTGCATACCGCATAGGTTGTCAGTATGGTACCCATTCAATTATGGATGGTATTGTCATGTTGCAATATGAATGACAGCCCGGTCTGACTTTACTGTGTCATCTCATTTTAACTGGAGGTTCCCATTGTGTGAAACACAAACGGTCATTGTTCTCTCCATTCTGCAAACATACAAACTCATTCTGCAGGCCTAGCATAAATGTACTCTGAACATTTGGGAAAGTGGGAGTATACTGCTTCTATCTAAAGCAAATTGAAAAGAATATACAAGGATGACAATAGGTTTAACATATTCCAAAATTGTGCCAATGTGATTTCATATGAACCGCAAAAAATTATAGCATAGTCCTGTTTACTTATCATTTTTCTGTTTCCCATGTATCTGTCCTTTCCCCATACACCCATAGTTTACTCCCTTCTTTTAAAACTAATATGAATTCTGCTTCAACCACCGTTCCCAGTAGGACATTCCATATCCTAATTACTCTGGGTGAAAAAAAATTCTTCTAACCTTCCCATTTGCTTGTTTACTAATTATCTTAAATAGTACTGAACGGATTGCTCTTAAAAGAGTCAGCACAGACACAATGAGATGAATGACCTTTGTATGTGTTGTAATTTTCTCTGGTTCTAATGTTCTGCAATAATTTAGTTGCTAAATTCAGGAGCTTATCCTCAAAATTGCCAAAGAAGACAGCTGCGTGCTTAAAAACAAGCAATGAAAATTTGAAAGTTTATATAAGCAAAAGGATAGTGTTCATCAAAAATGTTTGCTGTATGTTATTATATAAATCACTTGGTCAGAAACCAAGACATCAAAGGGAATCTAAGTTATAAAGAAAACTCATGGAAGTCGGGCTTGTTTCTTTAGGACAGGGGTGACTGCTGACTGACCTGATTGAAGTTTTGAAGATTATGAAAGGGATTCATAAGGTTGATCTGGCAAATTGTTCACTATCATAGAATCATACAACTATACAGCACAGAAGGAGGCCATTCGGGCAATCATGTCTGTGCCGGTTCTTTGAAAAAGAGCTATCCAAATCAAACCCATTCTCCCGCGCTCTCCCCATAGACCTGCAAACTTGTCCTTCCCAAATAATTATCTACTTCTCTCTTAAAAGTTGTTATTGAATCGGCTTTCATCACCCTTTCAGGCAATGCATTCCAGATCTGAACAACTCGCTGTGAAAAAATTTCTCCTCACCTCCCCTCTGTTTCTTTTAACAGCTATTTTAAATCAGAGTTCTCAGATTACCGACCCACCTGCTAGTGGAAATAGTTTCTCCTTGTTCACCCTATCGAATCCCCTCATAATTTTGAAAACTTCTATTAAGTCTCCTCTTAACCTTCTTTGCTCCAAGGAGAATAATCCGAGCTTCTCCTAATAACTGAAGTCCCTCATTCCTGGTCGCATTCTGGTAAATCTCCTTTTCACCCTCTCCAATGCCTTGACAGCCTTCCTAAGGTGTGGTGCCCAGAACTGAACACAGTACTCTAACTGAGGTCTAACCAGTGTTTTATAAAGGTTCATCATAAGTTCCTGACTTTTGTATTCTATGCCCCTATTTATAAAGCCTAATATCCCATATGCTTTCTTAACAGCTTTATCTACCTGTCCTGCCACCTTCAAAGATTTACTTGTATAAACCCCAGATCTCTCTGTTGCTTGAGCCCCTTTAACATTTTACCATTTTTTCTAGCTTATTTTGCCTCTCCTCAGACTTCCTCCCAAAATCATCCCTTTGCATTTCTCTACATTAAACTTTATCTGCCATGTGTCTGCCCATTTTACCAATCTGTCTATGTCCCTATGCAGTCTGCTACTATTCTCCTCAATGTTTACTACTTTTCCTAGCTTAGGATCATATATGCCTAATAATAATCGCTCCAAAACAAAATTACTAACGGCACTCAAGCGGCAGCAAGACGGGCTCTTGAACAGAGAAGTGTTTGAGGGATGTTATGAGATAGTGACGTTGAGAACTACAATCAGGGTTGAGTCTAAGGTTCAATGGCCTTTTTCTGTGCCAACATGTTTTTATGTACAGGTAAATATAAATGCTAGCTACATTCTGAATAGTGCTGGGTTAAGTTATCCACACATATTCCACTATTTGACGCAACTTGTGGAATTCCAACAGATTTGCTTGCACTCCACAATAACATTCAGACATGACAACAACGACAACAATTGACATTCATTGAGCCCTGTAGCTCAGTGGTTAGAGCACTCGCCTTGCAACGAGAGGACCTGGGTTTGATTCCCTGACAGGCGACTTGTTGGGGAAGTTTCCTTACTCCACACACCTCTGCGTACCCAGCAGTAAGTAGCAACCCAGTTTTTAGTTGACTGGTGGATCGCTTTTCTGTGGATAATAATTCCTTCCAAAAAAAATGTGGTCACTCAATCCACGACTGTTTGTAGGACACTGCTGTGTGCAATTGGCTGCCGCATTTTGCCCACATAATATCCAGGCAAATTCACTTTACAGTTTATTCTGTGAAGCTCTTTGAGACATATTGAAAACGTGCTGAAGTGCTATATCAAATGCAAAGATGATTATTATTATTGTGTCGGGAGAACATCTCAAAGTACTTTACACAGCTAACTAGGCATCCAAGCTGGACAAGTTGTGGCACAGGGGATATTTTGAGCCAGGCACAGCTGACAATAAATGGATTTTAGTTAAAATAAATAAAAGACATTGCTGTGCACAGCTGGCTGCTGCATCTCCCACACAAAATACACAGTCACTCTACTTTACAGTATATCCTGTGAAGCGTTTTGAGATGTCTCGGCAACACGAGAGGCTCTATATCAAATGCAAGCATTATTATTATTATTATTTTATGGATTAAGATGGAAATTCACCATTGTCGATTAAAAGATTGATCAAGATTTTTTTCGCCAACAATGTTTAAAGCATCAAAACACACTAGGCTCATGCTTGGTCAGCAAAGGCTAAAAATGCACTCAGATAAAACAAAAACAAATTGCCAAAACACTTCTGTTTCATTAAGACAGGAACCAAAATGTGAAAACAAAATCGATGCAATGTGCGAATTCCTTCCCCTTAGGCAATGAATTTGTACTTCTGTGGGTTGAGATTTATTCTCTCGTGTTTTATATTCATGGGGATGTGTTTTTTTAGTGTCTGTGGTGTGTGTGGTGTGTGGTGTGTGTGGTGTGTGGTGTGTGTGTGTGTGTGGAGAGAGTGGAAGTTTGTTAAAGAGGTCTGAGGTTGCTCTAACGATACAGATCTGGTCAAGTGTTGAGTGTTCAGTGCAGGTCGTTCTTCTATGGATGATGCAAGAGATCCCAAGTAAGTCGCATGAGCCCAAGTTTTTGTTTGCCTGGAGGTGAACACAGGAGCGGGCGGGACCTGCTCAGTACTTTGAGGAGGTTTCCAAACAGCAGTCAGTGCAGTCTCGCACACATGAGGCAGCAACAGGTGAGATGGACATCAGATACAATCCAACTTAAAACACACACCAGCACCACCACCACCACACACACAGGGACTCACTCACTCACTTCACTCACTTCACTCACTGAAGGCAAAGCAAAAATCCAGGGCTTGAGATCAGTCAGTGACAGACACACAGACTGACACACAGACAGACACAGACAGACAGACAGACACAGACAGACTGACACACAAACTGACACACAGACAGACACAGACAGACACACAGACAGACAGACAGACAGACACAGACAGACTGACACACAAACTGACACACAGACAGACACAGACAGACAGACAGACAGACAGACAGACAGACAGACAGACAGACAGACACAGACAGACTGACACACAAACTGACACACAGACAGACACAGACAGACAGACAGACAGACACAGAAAAAAAACATCAAAGAAGACCACGTTTGGTGAATCAGTTAACATTGAAAGGCAGAAAGAAACCCACTGCCTCCCTCCTCCTCCCTCCTCCTCCTCCTCCCTCCTTCCTCCCTCTCCCTCCTCCTCCTCCTCCACCGATGCCCACCGGCCCCGAACCCACCCTCCCCGCAGGGGGTCCCCGCAAAGGTGATGCCAACCGCTTCCCTGCGCCCACGGACTTGCCCGAGTCCGGCAGAGTCCCCCGGAACAAGGTGATGCTGAAGAAGAAAGTGACTCTGCTGAGAGGAATCTCCATGATCATCGGGACGATCATCGGCGCCGGCATCTTCATCTCCCCCAAGGGCATCCTGCAGCACACCGGCACCGTGGGCGCGTCCCTGGCCATGTGGGCGGCGTGCGGCGTCCTGTCGCTCTTCGGTGAGTGGCGCTCACTTTTGGCTCCTAAACTTCGGACCTTAGTCTTAGCGGTAGGGGGGGGGGGGGTGTAGTGGGGGGGGGGGGGGTGTGTGTAGTGGGGTAGGGGTGTAGGGGTGTGTGGTGGGGTAGGGGGTGTAGGGGTGTGTGGTGGGGTAGGGGGTGTAGGGGTGTGTAGTGGGGTAGGGGGTGTAGGGGTGTGTAGTGGGGCAGGGGTGTAGGGGTGTGTGGTGGGGCAGGGGGTGTAGGGGTGTGTGGTGGGGTAGGGGGTGTAGGGGTGTGTGGTGGGGTAGGGGGTGTAGGGGTGTGGTGGGGTAGGGGTGTAGGGGTGTGTAGTGGGGTAGGGGTGTAGGGGTGTGTGGTGGGGTAGGGGGTGTAGGGGTGTGTGGTGGGGTAGGGGTGTAGGGGTGTGTGGTGGGGTAGGGGGTGTAGGGTGTGTAGTGGGGGGGGGTGGGGTGTGTAGTGGGGCAGGGGTGTAGGGGTGTGTAGTGGGGCAGGGGGTGTAGGGGTGTGTGGTGGGGTAGGGGGTGTAGGGGTGTGTGGTGGGGTAGGGGGTGTAGGGGTATGGGGTGAGTGTAGGGGTGGGGTAGGGGGTGTAGGGGTGTGTAGTGGGGTAGGGGGTGTAGGGGTGTGTGGTGGGGCAGGGGTGTAGGGGTGTGTGGTGGGGTAGGGGGTGTAGGGGTGTGTGGTGGGGTAGGGGTGTAGGGGTGTGTGGTGGGGTAGGGGGTGTAGGGGTGTGTAGTGGGGTAGGGGGTGTAGGGGTGTGTGGTGGGGTAGGGGGTGTAGGGGTGTGTGGTGGGGTAGGGGGTGTAGGGGTGTGTGGTGGGGTAGGGGGTGTAGGGGTGTGTAGTGGGGGGGGTGGGGTGGGGGTGTAGGGGTGTGTGGTGGGGTAGGGGGTGTAGGGGTGTGTGGTGGGGTAGGGGGTGTAGGGGTATGGGGTGAGTGTAGGGGTGGGGTAGGGGGTGTAGGGGTGTGTAGTGGGGTAGGGGGTGTAGGGGTGTGTAGTGGGGCAGGGGGTGTAGGGGTGTGTGGTGGGGTAGGGGTGTAGGGGTGTGTGGTGGGGTAGGGGGTGTAGGGGTATGGGGTGAGTGTAGGGGTGGGGTAGGGGTGTAGGGGTGTGTGGTGGGGTAGGGGTGTAGGGGTGTGTGGTGGGGTAGGGGGTGTAGGGGTATGGGGTGAGTGTAGGGGTGGGGTAGGGGTGTAGGGGTGTGTGGTGGGGTAGGGGTGTAGGGGTGTGTGGTGGGGTAGGGGGTGTAGGGGTGTGTAGTGGGTAGGGGGTGTAGGGGTGTGTGGTGGGGTAGGGGGTGTAGGGGTGTGTAGTGGGGTAGGGGTGTAGGGGTGTGTGGTGGGTAGGGGTGTAGGGGTGTGTGGTGGGGTAGGGGGTGTAGGGGTGTGTGGTGGGGTAGGGGGTGTAGGGGTGTGTAGTGGGGTAGGGGTGTGTTGTGGGGTAGGGGTGTAGGGGTATGTGGTGGGGTAGGGGGTGTAGGGGTATGGGGTGAGTGTAGGGGTGGGGTAGGGGGTGTAGGGGTGTGTGGTGGGGTAGGGGGTGTAGGGGTGTGTAGTGGGGTAGGGGGTGTAGGGGTGTGTGGTGGGGTAGGGGTGTAGGGGTGTGTGGTGGGGTAGGGGGTGTAGGGGTATGGGGTGAGTGTAGGGGTGGGGTAGGGGGTGTAGGGGTGAGTGTAGGGGTGGGGTAGGGGGTGTAGGGGTGTGTGGTGGGGTAAGGGGTGTAGGGGTATGGGGTGAGTGTAGGGGTGGGGTAGGGGGTGTAGGGGTGTGTGGTGGGTAGGGGGTGTAGTGGTGTGTAGTGGGGTAGGGGGTGTAGGGGTGTGTTGTGGGGTAGGGGGTGTAGGGGTGTGTGGTGGGGTAGGGGGTGTAGGGGTATGGGGTGAGTGTAGGGGTGGGGTAGGGGGTGTAGGGTGTGTGGTGGGGTAGGGGGTGTAGGGGTGTGTAGTGGGGTAGGGGGTGTAGGGGTGTGTGGTGGGGTAGGGGGTGTAGGGGTGTGTGGTGGGTAGGGGGTGTAGGGGTATGGGGTGAGTGTAGGGGTGGGGTAGGGGTGTAGGGGTGTGTGGTGGGGTAGGGGGGTAGAGGTATGGGGTGGGTGTAGGGGTGGGGTAGGGGGTGTAGGGTATGGGGTGGGGTAGGGGTGTAGGGGTATGGGGTGGGTAGGGGGTGTAGGGGTATGGGGTGGGTTGTAGGGGTGTGGGGGGTGTGTGTGGGGTGTGGGGGGGGGTTGGGGTGTGGGTGGGGGTGTGGGGTGGGGGTGGGAGGTGGTGGTGGTAAGTGGTTGCCCTAAAAAAAAGGAACGATTACCCCCCCCACCCACCTCAAACAAATCAGGTGTGGGAAGCATCCACAGTCATCTCGAAAGCTTTCCATGACATTTGCAAAGATTTGCAAAGAGTAGTAGCACTTCTTGTGGCTCTTGTTTGGTTGTATGAACTCAGTGCCCTGTCCTCAGTCTTGAGGGAAAGCGAACATGTTGCCTGTTCAAACAGTTAATAACCATCAGCAAAGTGATGCCAATATATATGGAAGCGCGTAAAACGTTCACTGAGTGGTCGTGGATTTATACTAGAAACGGGGTGTACATTTTGTGGACTTTTAATTCAATTGCGATTAAAAAAAAGGGTCTTGTCAATCATGCGGTGAGTTCTTGTTGACTTCACACCCAAACTTTTCGGAGTGCGTTAAAGCCGAACACAATGCTTTTATTGTGTTAAAACATGATTTATGTTGGGTGAGTTGGCTAAGAGATATAAATGGTGAGGTGGGATATGCAACAACTACAACAACAAGGTTGCATCTGTTTAGCGCCTCTCACGTTGGGAGGATGTCCCAAGGTGCTGGACAGTGTATAGCATTTCAGACCCGAGCTGGGGTCAGGGGGGAGAGGGGAGGGGAAGCGGGGGTGGCCGAAGGCATGGTCGAAGAAGAGGGTTTAGAGGTGGGACTTGAAGGAAGCTAAGGAGGGGGCAGGGCAGAGTGATTGGGAGATGGATTTCCAGTGGTTGGGGGCAGAGAGGCTGAAGACTCTCCCACCAATGATGGGGCAGGTGGGGTGGGAGATGTGGAGCAGCCAGAGCCGGCTGAGCGGAAGGAGTGGGCGGGTTGGTAGGGGGTTAGGAGGTCGCAGAGGTAGGGTGGGGCGAGGCCATGGAGGGCTTTGTATGTGAGGACCAGGATCTTGAAGTGGATCCTCTGAAGGATAGGGAGCCAATGGAGTCAGGCGAGAATGGGGGAGATGGGGTCATGGAGTTTGGTGCGGGAGAGGACACGGGCTGCAGAGTTCTGGATTATCTGCAGCCTGTGGAGGGAGGAGTTGGGAAGGCCGACAAGCAGGGCGTTTGCATAGTCGAGCCTGGAGGTGATGAAGGCATGAACAAGAGTTTCAGTGGCCCGAGGGGTGAGGTAGTGGCGGTGTCGGGTGATGTTACGGAGGTGAGGGAAGGCAGAGCGGGTCATGGCTTGGAAGTGGGGAAGAAAAGATAGTTGAGGGTCGAACAAGACACCCAGGTTCCTGACTGGCTTGGCGAGTTGTAGTGAGCAACCATGGAGGTTGATGCTGCCGGAGCCTGAGGTGCAGAGGCGTTGGCGTGAGCCAATCAGGAGGGCCTCAGTCTTGTTCACATTCAACTGTAGGAAATTTGCCCTCATCCAGGACTTGATGTCCAGAGACAGTCTGTCAGGACAGCAGTGGTCCTGGAGTTGAGAGTGAAGGCAGAAAGATAGAGTTGGGTGTCATCCGCATACAAATGGAAGTTGACTCCATATCTGCGGATGATGTCAAGAAGGGGGAGCATGTAGATATTAAAGAGGAGAGGGCCGAGGACAGAGCTCTGGGGGATGCCAGACGTGACAGGGGCTGGAGTGGAAACCGTTGGAGACAACAAAGTGGAGACGATGAGAGAGACAGGATTTGATCCAGGCAAGGGCAGCTCCGCAAAGATTAAGTAAAGAGGAGAGGATGAGGATGGAGTGGTCGACAGTATACATTTTGAATATTCAAGAATAACCCTGCAGTCAAAGAATCGTAGGATCCATCGAATGTTACTTTACTCTGATTTCCTGGCTGGCATTATTTCTGAATAAGTTCAAACATATTTCCGCTGCCAAGGTTAGATGTTATTGTTGACGTTATCTTCTGAAAACATCAGCCAGTTGCAACAACAAACTTAATTAATAATCATAATTTGCAACTGGTTTCAAATCTTTTCAATAGGACAGTAATTGAATCCTATAATGTTGAAAAATGCTTTACAACTTAACCTTATATAGCACCATTCACATGTTATCATGTCTTGAAGCACATTGCAAAGGCATATGTGTAGGCAAGGAAGAAAAAGGATTTTGAAAATGTTGAGAAAAGTCATGAACAAAGAAATACATTATTAAAAGAAAAAGTTTTTTTTAAGCAAGAGTTTGAAAGGAAGAAGAGAAGATAGAAGGTGAAGGGATTTAGAAGAAAGTTCCAAATCCAAGGGCAAGGAACAAGCAGTTGGAATGAGCTTTGGATGTCAGCATACACTCAAAGCATTTGCTCTCTTGCATCTTCTGACAGGCATCAATTAAAACAATAATTTATATTAATGTATTAGCTTTCATGTAAAATAATTCAATGCACTTGCCAAATGTGGCGGTGCACACCGAGCAGGGATATGGTACATGTTTCTAAAGGCTTCTGAAAACACTGGCAAGGCAAATGGTATTGGAAGAGAGTTTCAGAGGGTACCTGCATGGTGACTGGTAGTTCAAGCATTGTTGGTAGAGTGATTGGTGTGGAAAACAAGCAATAGGTTAGAGTGAGAAGAGCAAAACGTATATGAGACTGTAGGTCTGGAGATAATTGCAGAAGTAGGCTAGGCAAGAGTACAGAAAGATTTGTGTGTGGAAGATTTAAATGCAGTTCTCTGATGCAATCTAATGGATCTTAGTGAGGAAGGGGGGAATGGGTGAGGTGTGGGGCTGGGAAGGGAATGGGTGTGCGGAGTCTTCGGAAAAGGTTA